AGAACAGCAATTTAGTACAGTATTTTTTGTTTCTCTGAGCTTGTTTATTAACACACACTGCTCAGAGTTGCTTGTCTTTTTAAAGGCACACTTGCATTATTTTGCATATAAATGAAGTGTTAAAAACCGTCCTTCAACATCTTGCATGTAAAAAGTTTCCATTGGAAGGATAAATTTTATAATACTATTTCAAACATGACTGTCACAGTTTTCTTTGCAACTTGAAATTTTCATCAACATTTTGCACTTCTAGCAAATGGTTGTTTGAGATACAAAGGAACACCTGGGGTGTGTTTGTCTAAATTATTCAAATTTATAAATGTTTGTTAGATTTTAGAACAAAGTTATGTCAGTATGACTATCAATCTTGCATTAAAAGGTATTACCAAAGATGGCCTGAAAATGATGACCTTGAAGATGTTTCACAGTGAGGTACATTCTTCTAGTTACCTCACGAGGTTTTCGATCTTTAGAACACCAATAAAAAATAGTTTTAAGGAAGCCGTCCTGTAGAATTATCCTTTTTTAGCTAAATTAATAAGATCATACCATTATAGAGCTTTGAAAAAGATCATAATTTCAGTACCATTGCTTTGAAATTTGAATCCACAGCTTCTTAGGCAACACATTTTTAAATTGTATTTCTGTTTCTTGCTTATATATATTGTTTTGTGTCATTATGTAGGGATGTGTACTTTAACAGATTCTGAACCCCTGTAAAATGCTCAGTATTGCCATTTTTTTACATTTATTAAAGTTGTGTTAGTTATAATCTCTGAATACTTCTGTTATGTCAAAAGTGTAAAGCAAATTCACAATGTAAAGGCCAGAATCTACATGGAAGACATTTTGTGAAAAACAAGGCGACTTGGCCCAGAGAATCTTTAGAAGACCACGAATCTCTTGAAGTTTTATGTAACATTTTAATATTGTGCATTTTATTTAAATAAGAGGTTCTTAGTTTTCCTAGGATTTTTGGAGTCTGATCACAAAGAAAGTTAAGAACCAGGAATCTAGAGGCAGAAAGAAACTATTGTGGCTATTTGGGATTTGGTTCAGTTACTCATAGAAAAGTGCTGTTTGTCATTACTGGGTAATACATTTTCGTACAAGTTTTTTTATTTTTAATAATTCCTTTTAGTATATTTTTAGGAAGCTAGCAATTAACTATTAGTATAATTGCATTCATTATGTTATGATTATAGAAATAAGGCACTAAAGAAAAACTAAGATCCATAAATGAATAAATTTGAATGAAGAGAGAACAAGTAAATTGTTGGAGTATATACCACTAGTTTAACAATAAAAGTAAGCCTGACGTTAGACCTCACCTGTTGCTTGACTTCCTGTCCACTGTGCTTTCAGTTTCAATAATTATAGTGTAGTTGAAAATATTTTCTCATTTCAGCATATCGCAGGGTGAAATGAATAAGGTTTTTATTTTGTAGTTCTTGAAGTTACTATGAAATGAATCAATTTTCTATGAAATAAGATGGTTCTAATTTTCTACCTCATATTTAAAACAGCTACATGTGGTTTGTTACTGAGCTGCTATGGCATTCTTAACCTTTTACAGTTAGTATATAATAGCACGTTATAATTACATCTGTCATGGTGATTGGATTGTCATTGTAATTGTATTTCTTCAAATTTTTAAAGCATTTATAATTTAAATTGTCTTTCCGTGAAATTATAATGTAATAAATTCAATCTACGGAAAGTTTAAGTCTTAAATATAATTTCTTAGCTGCTTCCATGTAGTTAAACATCATTTTATGAGACTTACAAAAAAGAACTTCAGAAAGGAGTTTTAAAAATGCAAGACTGATGTCGGCACAGGTAGCCATTTTATGTACTAACATTTAAAAGTCTGCAAGTTAGTGTGGAGGGGTGTCTTATTGTAGTTAGCAATACAAAGGTAGTACAATATCAGCTTTTGTGTTTGTTTCTTTTAAATGAGAATTTTGCATGAAACAGTTCCTTGCAGCATTTTCAGGGCCTTTTGTCAAGGGCATCTGTGCCAATATTACACTAATTTCTTGTCCTTTCCCTCTTTGCTCTAGGACTTCTTTCTAATTTGTCTCACTCCCAACTCCAATTCTTGTAGGGTCTTATTGTACTCTAAGTAAATTATCCTTTACCCTCCTATTCCCACCATCTCACATTGTATATATTTGACTTGTATATGTTTATAGTTTTCTACCCTGACTTCATAGTTTTATATGTTAGTATAATAAGTCAGAATACAGGTTTATTTAACCTTTATATCTGTATTGATAAAATCCTTATACTACTCTAATTTTAGAAGCACCTTACCAAAGAGAAAGGCTACGGAAAGTGTTAGAAAGTAGTTCAGTTAATTGGAAAGACAAAATTTTCTTGTTTACTGTAGTATACTCAGCTCCTAAAATGGTGCCTGGCATATGATTAGGTGTTCAGTAAATATTGTTGAAGGAAAGACGGAATACTACTTATAAACTAGAATTATTCAGCCTTCAAAAAGGATATCTCAGTGAAGACTGAGAAATGTTAAATGATGTGTTAATTACATTAAAAGTATTGACAATTATTCACATTCACTTGGGGCTTTAAAAGAATCAGATTTTGGCAATAAAAGATTAAATTTATACGATTTATGTTAATATGTGTTTCTCCCTCCCACCCCCCACCCCATGCTTGCACACACACACACACACACACACACA